CATACATACATGCATGCATACATGCATACATACCTACATACCTACATACATAAATACGAAAATACATAAATACATACATACATACATACATACATACATACATACATACATACATACATACATACGTACATCCGTAAATGCATACGTAAATAAATACGTTAGGCTCATAGGGGATTTAGGCAGGTTATAGGTTTTGGCGGTTTGTTGTAATAGTTCGGTGGGTGCTGCAGAGTGTTGGGTTGGTTGATTCGGTTCGGGGCTAGTGGTAGGGTTCGGCAGTGGCTCGTGGATGGTTCAGTAAGGTTTACGGTTTAGGGTTTAGGGCCGAAGCCGAAAACTTGCAGGTTGTTGATATGCTTTTTGTGTTCCGAATAGGTGCACTGGGAGCAGATTCTGGTTTGCTGACAGCCTTACAAAGCGAAGTAGCATTTCGTTTATGTCTAGAGCAGTCGTAACAGTAGTAATGCTAGAAATATCTGCGACAATCAGCATCATGATACCCATGACAGCCATGCATAAGTACAAGAAGACTAGCAAACAAAGCAAGACTCATATCAATAGTAGCAATAATACCAACAACAACATTAGCAATAATCCTAATCACCCCTGGACAACCATGGCAAAACCTAGCCAAAGTAATCATAGCAATCCGGTGTAAGGGTGACCTCAGCAAAACAACCATACCAACGACAGCAGCAAGGATGTTGCCAAAAAGCTAAACCCTTGACCCTTTCTCTGGGGTCCTAGCCCAGAGACTCCAATACTCCTGAATTCAGGAATCTACCTTAAATGTTTGACTTACGTCCCCATTCGAGGTGTCTGGCAGGCCGAACCCGCACGGTAATCAACTCTACCCATATAGGCCCCATAGTAGTTCCTTCTTGGGGTTCATATTTAGAATCCCATTATCTTAATCCCAAAAAGGAACTACTATGGGGCCTATGGGTAGGTCTAAGCCCTAAAGTTGAAGTTCCTAAGCGCCTGAAGCTTAGAGCCTGAAGCGGCTGAAATATATGGGTAGTTCTCTAAATTAGGGTCCCTTGCAAGGTCCTTTTTATAAGGGTGCCGTACTATATTGGGGACCTAAGAAGGGGCCCTAATTTATAGAACTACCCTATATTCCTTATTATGGGTAATGCAGGATTTAGATTATCAACCGTAGTCGGCGCTTGAACCTGGCCTGGGGATCCACGCCACGTTTTGTTGCCAGTGCCCGGCTTCGGCCTTTGTGCTTTCGCAGACTCGAAGGGTCTGTAAGGTTTAGGGCCTACAGGGTTTAGGGTCTCTAAGGTTCAGGGTTTAGGGGCTTAGGAGTTTAGGGGTTTAGGGTTTAGGGGCCAAGGTTTAGGGTTTGACCCAGCCATGTAAACCCTGCAAGCATCATCTTCAGATTCTTGGCTAAATCCTAGACCCTAAACCCCAAACCCTAAACCCTGGACCCCAAAGCCCTAAACCCTTCAGACCCTAGACGCCAACGCCCTAAACCCTAGACCCTAAACCCCTAAAGTCCTAAACCCCAAAACCCTGTAAACCCTAGACCCTAAACCCTAAACCCTAAACCCCTAAACCCCTAAACCCTAAGGGGAGTGACAATTCAGAACAGAAAGGCTGCCTACACTTCGCCCTCCGGGACTTCCCCAGGGCCGAACGCGCCTATGACGAGAGCCGCTGGGAACTTTATAGGGGTTTGGGTTTAGAGTTTTAGGTTTTAGGGTTACGGGCTTAGGGTTTGGGTTTAAGGATGTAGGTTTTAGGGTTTTTTTGACTTAGGGTTTAGGGTTTAAGGGTTTTGGGTTTTGGGTTTTAGGGTTTTTGGGCTTGGGGTTTAGGGTGATCGGGGTTTTGGTAGGGTTTTTGGGCTTAGGGTTTAGGGTATAAGGGTTCAGGGTTTAGGGGTTCAGGGTTTTTGGGCTTGGGGTTTAGGGTATAAGGGTTCAGGGTTTAGGGGTTTGGGTTTAGGGTTTTAGGTTTCAGGGTTTTCGGGCTTGGGGTTTTGGGTTTAAGAGTTTAGGGGTTTAGTGTTTAGGGGATTGAGGTTTAGGGGTTTAGGGCTTAGGAATTTAGGGGTTAGGGGTTTAGGGCTTGGGTTTAGGGTTTAGGAATTTAGGGTTTAGGGAGTTTAGGGGCTTTCTCCCAGATGCCCGTATAGGCCTAATGAGGCCGAACTTAGAGAATTCTCTCACGGTTAGGGTTTAGGGTTTAGGGTTTAGGGTTTAGGGTTTAGGGTTTGTGTAAGGCTCCTTGATGCGATGTAAAGAAGTTTTTTGTTTCAGGTCATATAGAAGCCGAACTATTTGCAACTATGATTCCTTAGCTTTCCTTAGTATGGTTATACTATAAAAGAGCCCGAAACCTTTTTCAACATATCCAGGCCCCAACATTATGTTGACAAGTCTGGACTCCGGATCAGCAGCCTGGGTTCTCAACCTTCCAGGCTCTCCAGCCCAAAGCCTCTGCCCAAACCCGCAATGAGCACTAACCGCATCCAAAACCCTCAGACTGTCAGAGGTCTTTCGATGCTTCTTTAGAGGATAGCATACGGGATACTACGAGGGTTCAGGGGCCTTGCCTACTTAGACTCGAATTTTGTTGTACAGTTTATGTATAACCATGCAGGCCCCCATACTGAGCCACCCATCCCAGACCCGAATTGTCTGCAAGACCCCACAAAGAAATCTTAGTGCCACAAGGTTTTTACAGCCGTGTAGCAAACGACTCAACACCCTTCTGGAGCCCTTACGCAAAATGTCATACAAGAGCCTTAAACCTTAAACCTTACCAAAAACGTCATATAAGATCCCTAAACCCTAAACCGTATAAGAGATTACAAAAGCCCATAAAGGCGACCAGTCTCTCCGTCAGCTGGGCTTTGGCGAGTCAGAGCACAGGGCGACCGTGTCCGATCCTCAGCGTGACTCTTCGGGGACCGTTTTCAGAGGGTTTAGGGTTTAGGATTTAGGGGTTTGGTTTTTTTTTTTTAGGGTTTAGGGCTTCGGGTTTAGGGGTGGAGGGTTTAGGGAAAACAAGTTTGGTGTTTAGGCGTTCAGGGTCTGAGGCTTCAGGAGTTTGGGGATCAGGGTTTAGGGGCTGAGGGTTTAGGGAAAAAGTTTGGGGCTCAGGGGTTTAGGGTCTAGGGCTTGAGGGTGTAGGGTCTTTGGTCATTTTCGGTTTTACGATTTCATACACGGGTCAGAAGAATCAATAGGAGTATTCCCTTGTTGTCCTTGTTGAGTTACTATAATGTACCCCGAAGTCTAATTGCCATGACAGCTGCAAAACTCTTTTCAATTCCACGTTTTGACTTCGTGTCATTGTAGAGCAGCAGGAGAAACCCTTAGGGAAAACGTTGGAGGCTTTTCTGCAATTCAAACCCCCACCGTGGATCCTGCTAGAAGAAAACCCAAGCGGCTCACAATTGCAACAAGGGTTTCGGTTTTGGGTAATATCCTAGTAATAATAATACATCATGGCTGGAGGGGGGGTGTAGTAGCCCTAGACCCTAGACCCTCGCCGCCCTCTTCCTGAACCCAATTTCCTGGACCCTCCAACAAGCCGGAGTCCTGAACCTGATGCCCCACAGCCCCCGAAGCCTCCAATCTGAAAGCTCGAGGCCCCAAAAACTTTTAAACGCCACATGCTCTTAAACCCGACTCAAGAAACCCTCACCAAGCCGTACACCGAACCCCGTACACCTCATAGATCCCGATAACCTTACAGTAAAAGCCTTACAACCCTAGACCCTAGGCCTTAAGCCTTAAACGCAAACTCTGACTCAAACCCTCAGAAGACTCGAAGTCTGTTACGGATGCGGGAATCAGTATGGTAGCTAATGTAGGGGCTCTAATAGTTACCTATGTACATTATTTTGGAGGGGGTCCTTTTGATAATTATAGTATAATGGCCCCAAAACCCTATTCTAAGATTTTTGTAAGCCCCCTATGCTATACGGTCCTTATAATAGGGATCCTATTCTTTAGGGTACTATATGGGGAAACCGAGTACCCTAAATAGTAGGATCCTTATTATAAGTCCCCCAAAATAAGGTACCCCCTGATTTTCGGAAACTTCCAACACCCAGGCAGTCTCAAGGCCCCTACCTTTGCCAAGGCTGGCGGGCCGAGCCGGGATGGACTTGGCCCAACAACGGCCGGGCTCCGCCCTCCAAGGCTACGAGAAGGCCTGGGTATCCCGACATTGCAGGGCGGGGGATACTTATATAACAAAACAACACCATATACATGCATATCAATACCTAGATAGATCGATAGATAGATAGATAGATAGATAGGTAGGTAAGATAAGATAAGATAAGATAAGATAAGATAAGATAAGATAAGATAAGATAAGATAAGATAAGATAAGATAAGATAAGATAAGATAAGATAAGATAACATAAGATAACATGAGATAACATAAGATAA